GAAATAGGCCTATAGTTGGCAGGATTGTCTGGACTACCCTTCTTGTAGATAGGAAAGACCTGTGCTTGGCGCCATGGTGAGGAGACATAGGCCCATTGCCAGCAAACTGTAAACAAGTTAGACAGAACAGGTGCAATCACAAACTTGATGGACTTGATCATCTCTGCTCTGATGTGGTCTGAACCTGGTGCTTTTCAAGATGGCAGAAAGGCAATCCAGTGTAATACATCTGCTGAAGTCAAAGGTGCATTGCTAGCAGAGAAAGGTAGCTGTGGTAATGGTGGTGCCGGTACAGGTTGTCTTACTTCAGGCAGAATACCTCCACTGTAGACAGTCTCCAAGTGTCTTCCCATTGCTGTGGCAGCTGCTTCTGGTCCATCAGGGTGCTGGTATGTGGTCTGCTTCTGCCTACATTGTCTTAGCTGCTTGATCTTTGAGGTTGTCTTTGCAAAGTCTCTCTCCATTGCCTGACAGAAGGCACACCATGCTCTTCTTTTGGCAGCCTGCACTTCACTTCTAAATAATGCTACTGCTACTTGGTGCTTCTCCCACCAGTAGACTTTGTCAAGGCCAACAGCATGTCTCCATCTTCTGTAGTGTCTATCTCTCAGGTCAGCTACCTCCTGTAGTGATGTAGACCAAAAGGCTTTCCAGTGTGTGGGTCTTGGACGTTTGCTACCTACAGAGAGATCAAGTGCCTTGTATACATTATTGTTAAAGTGCTCAGTCAACTGGTCAATGGGAGGCTGTGATCTTGGTGGAGAGGCTACTAAGGCTGCTAGCTCTGTGCTAAGACTTTGTGACAATGTCTGGAAATGGTGTGCATACAGCTTACCAACATCAGGCTCCTTCAATCTGGACAAGTTCCATAGTCTTTTGAGAGGTGGTGGTGAGAGGTGAAAGTCAGAGAGATCATAATCAAAAGACAAAGTGAGAAGTCTATGATCAGAGTTCAGTGAGTGCTTGGTATCAACCTCTATGCATGCATTGGTAAGTGGTGTGTTGGTGATGAAGAGGTCAATGATGCTACTAAGCTGTTGCTGTTGCCTGAATGAGATGTAGGTAGGCTGACCAAATGCAAGAGAAGAGTTCAGGACTGCCAGGCCTTGTTCTTCCATCCAAAAAAGCAAGGCATTTCCTCTGGAGTTGGATGCATGATCACCAACATGATCACCAAGGCATGCATTGAGGTCTCCACAGATCAGGGTGTCATTGTTCAAAGGAATGGTATTGAGAACCTCTAGGGCTTCTTCTGTGGATAGGGAGGGGGGAAGGTAAAGGCATACAATTCTAATGGATCCAAATTGGACTCCAAGGGCATAGGGGGTGGGCATAGGGATATGGGTGACATAATAGGGGCATAGGGGAGAGATGAGAGCACAGATACCCATGAAACCATGGTAGTTGCCTACCACTGGCTTATTATAAGTGTGGAACTATGTCCATGATGTGGGGAGGAGTGAGGGAGAAAGGAGCCATGTTTCTGTGATGAAGAGCATAGTAAATGAGTGTGTGTGTTGCATAATGTCATGTACCAAAGACTGTTGAAGTCCATTGGCATTCCAGAGTCCCAGAGAGACTCTATTCATAAGTTGTGTTTTCTTCTGAGGCATCTAGCATTTTTTCATCTGTTTGTGGTGCCTTAAATGCTGTTGATGCCCTGTCTCTGTCCTGTTACTGCTTCCTCTTGTTGGGGTTCTCAGGGATCTGGGATTCTTCAATCCATCCTACCTCAGCAAATGCTGTGGCCACAGAGAAGGCTGTGTGGGGGCGCATGTAGGCAATGGCCTGGAGGCATCTGCTCTCATGCAGGTGGATGGCTTCTGAGGCCAGGTCCTCTTTTGACAGTGTTGCATATTTGGGATCAGCAAGGTGCTCTGGTGCTGTAGGATCAAAGTCCTTGTAGGTGGTGATGCCAGCCTTTTCCAAGAGAGACAGCACTTCTGGCTCATACTGAAGGTGCACCAACAGGCCAATGACAGATCTGGCAGGGAAACAGACATCCAGGATGCATCCAGTATCAAAGCCAAGGGTCCTGAGGAGCTTATGCACTTCTGGACGGTTCATGTGTCTTCCATGGGGGATGTACACATAGTTGTACCCTTGTTCACCTACTGAGACAGTGAAGGCTCTTGTTGCAGCAGCAACACGTCTCTCTGAAGGCTGTGACCTCTTGACAGGAGCCTTGGCATGTTTCTTGGCCACTGTGGCCCAAGAAGAGTCCTTGACAGTAGGCAGACCTTGTAGTGGATCAGTTGCTCTACTCTTTGGTGTCTGTGTTTCCTTTGGTGTCAGGACATTAGTGGGGGCTGGGACTGTTGGTGATGCTGCTGCTGCTTTGAGGGCACTGATCTCTGCCTCCAGAGCCTTGACTGTCCCTTGCAGTCTTGAGTTTTCTTCCAGGAGTCTCTCAAAAGCATCAAGCTTTTGCTGCTGCTAGTGATTATGCTGTCTGACCTGATTTATCTTATCAGAGAGCAAAGTCAACACCAAAATAATGTCAGCTTGGGAGGGAGCAGCTGTGTTTTGCTGCAACTGCAGCAACTGTTGGTGGGTATTCCCAAAAGACATGGTGTATCTACTACTATTCAAGTGGTGATGACCTGAAACTTGGACAGTAGGTGGGGAGGTGGGTGATGTTGATGGATGCAGCATTTTAGTGATGGATGGATGATTTTCAAATTTGGATAGACTTACAATTTTGCTTTTGAAAAAAGTGTTGCTTAGCAGAAAGAGATGACACGTGTGGTATTTAGTGATATGTGACAGGTGGATAAAAAGATAGAAATAAAGGTTAAAATAAAGATTATCACTGATAATGAAGGGAAATGGGTTTGGGGAAAAAGGGGAATAGTCTTTTCAAAAGAATCAGTTATCTAAAATAAAATGAAATTTACACCCACAAGTGAATGTAAAAGAGAAAGGGATATTGTAGGATACAAATATAAAAGAAAACAGTGAACAACAAGTTCACAAGGAAAACAGTACAATCAAGAATATGCAGAGACTGACTTGTACAAAACACAATGGATAATTCACAAGTAGAAATCAACAAAATGATACACTTGTCTCTGAAAGATCCAATTGAAATGGAAGAATAAGATAACAAAATAAAAGAATAAGAAATATTCAGAAAGAAGTATCAAGATAGAATTTGACAATGTTTATTAGTGAAAATAACTAGGAGTATTTATACTAATAGACAATAAGGTAAAAATATAATGAAGTCAATTCATATAAGCATTGTAGAGTGTAGTAATAGTGCAATTCTTAATGTGATTATACTATTACATAGCTTACAATAATATCAATAGGATAATAGAATAAAATAAGATGAAATACACCACAAAATAAGGTTAACACTACTGAATTACCAAAAGAATGGTAATTAATAAAATGAAAAGTGTGGACTGAAAAAGGAAAATATAGAAAAGCATGGTGTAGAAGAAGAAAAGTATGGACTGGAAAATAGAAAAATAGAGAAACATAGTGCAAAAAAAGGAAAATGTGGTGTCAAAAAGAAAAAGAAAAGTGCACACCAAAAAAGGGAAAAAGGAGGAAACAGAAAGACAAGGAAAACTTAGTGATTCTGTCTTTGCTGGACAGAGGAGAGCTGCAACACACGTCATGGTTTGGTACCAAACAAAAGAGAAGCATGGCCCATTTCATCTTCTTGGTGGCTGAAGCGAGGAATGCCTACACACACCGTGTGATAGAGATTCTTGCCTGTTTAGCTCAGGTTAAAGATTATTTTTATTAAAGGGGTATTTATCACATGCTTCAAAAAGTAAAGTGACCCCACAGAAAAGAAAAGAAAAGAAACAAAAAAACATCTAAGACTAAAAGATATAAAAAATGCTAAACTACTTGACAGAAAACTCTAAACTACTCTCTAAACTACTGTTCTGGAGGTCTTCCACCCAACATGCACTAAATGGTTGTGGCAGTGGGGGAGAGCAACCAGGAGACAGACAGAAAAGGTTTCATTCTTGTAAGGACCTAATACTGCCACCAGAGGCCAGCCACAGGGATCCAGGAGACAAGTCCTCAGGAAAGAAACAGTCTGGGCGACATAGTGTTTCTATGTGCCAGAGCAAGGCAAGCAAGGCAGGCCACCACACAGGACAGGGAGCACCACAACGTGTTGACATGCTGTTGAGGCAGGAGTCAATAGGGTGAACCCCAGCAGAACAAACAGGCAGCAAAGACCAAAGGGAGGCAGGCACAAGAGAACACTCCAGCAGGTGATGGCGCGAGGTATGGTCAGAACCACAAGGACACTCTCTAGGCTTTCCAGGGAGCCACCCAAGACGCCAACGGACCAAACGGCTTCTCTCTGCTCTAGAAGCAGGCACCAACAGAACAGGATCAATTCCCAACAAGGGGCGGCAGTGTTTGATCAACACCATGGTGGTGGTGGCAAGGAACAGGTCAAACTTGTGCTGGCGGTACTCCTCAAAGAACAGCTTCAGCTGGCTATCTTTGGTAGGAACAGGGTCTGGCAGGGCAAGGTACAGTGGGTTCTTTACCAGATATGAGCTCCTTCTGGCCATGGGCAGAGAGACAGAGAGCAGGACAAGAAGACAAGAGGAAGGCAAGGACCAAAAACGCAAGGCAAAACGGGTCACCAGCACATTTACTCTATGCTTCATGGAGGGCATGTTGGTAATGTGCTTCAGCACTGTTGTGGATGAAGTTGGGTGGCCACCCACCAGGAGATGGAGACACCTGTCTTGGAGCCTTTCAAGGGCCTTGAACTCTGTAGCCTTCAGATAGGAGATGGCCAGGCCAAACTCAAACTTTGGCCTCACAAAAGTCTTGTAAATGTGGGAGCAGAGGTGGAGAGAGAAGCCGGCACGGTTCACACCAACCAGGTTTAGGATGCCCATCACCTTGAGCACACCAGGGGACCGAGAAGACACCAAAGAGGAAGCAGACAGACCCTTCTTGCCAAAGGGCAGACCAAGATATGTCACCTCCTCTGCATGTGGAAGTGGCACGCCTGTTTAGCTCAGTGGTAGAGCGCTTGTCTTGTAAACAAGAGGTCGGTTGTTCAATCCAGCCACCAGGCATATTTTTGTATATTTTTAAATACACCCCCAATGATTTTCTGGCCTTTAAGCAGTGATATCTTCTTCCTGCTTAAAGCATACAAAGGAATCTGGTTGGTTAACATGTGGTTAGACTCTGCTCTTTATTCACTCAATTGTATATTTCTTTTATACATATTTTCTACTACTATTTTACTACTATAAGCTATGATATGGGGTATATATCTGATGGTAGAATGCAAAAGTGTCAATGATATAATACATCATATTGCTTGTGCATTGAGATTGTTTGGACAAGATTAATGAGACTGAACAAAGATAATTTTTATTGAGTAAAGAAAGATTCATTATTTATACTTTTTGTGGGTGCTTATTCTTTGGTGGCTTCTACCTTATGGTAGTCATGATAGTCAACCTTATGGCTGCTTCACAATTACAACTAAATGGTTGGTAGGGACATTCTACCTTATAGTAGAATTCACTCTCTTTGACCTTATGGTCAGTGTCTATATTACTACCTTATGGTAGTATTAATAACTACCACCTTATGGTTGGCTCATACGTTTTACTTAGTTGTAGTATTATTAGATTCAACCCTATGGCTGGTTCCTGGGATAAGCACTCCATTATTGGAACCATTAATTATTATGAGTCTTTACTCAATTGACTCTGATAGGTCAATATTGCTCTGTTAGAATTATTAATGAAGATGGCTCTTGTTAAGTGTCTGATAGTACACTCAAGCTTTCATAGAGTATTCTGAATGTCACAGCACACTACTCATGTTGACCTATTCATAGAGAATCTTTGGATTGAAGTTGGAACATGACAGACAGATTTGGATGGTTTAGGCACTTGTTCTTTATCTATTAACTTCTTTAAGCAAACAGCTGCTTCTCAGACAGTTCAACAATACTTAACAAGCAAAAAACAACTTCTTTATTATTCCTTCAGAAATAAGAGTCTTTTATACCCTTTTCCTAGCAATTATTAACCATCTAATATACTTGGTCTTCTATACTCTTGGCATTCTCTTGATAGACAATATGTGTGCTATCCTAAAGATGTCTCAGCTTTATTACATAATCTTTGGAAAACCAAATAACAAAAATATAGACAGGAGTTCTTTTGCAATGGTTGTACTGTGTTTATCAGGCAATGCTCTTAGAATGGTGAACCTGGAGAAGTAATCAACTATCACTAGCATGAAATTATTGCCACTTGATGAGATAATGTCAAATGAGCCAAGATCCATGCACCAATGATCTAGTGGTTGATCTGGCAGCACTGACTTTGGAGGATGATAACCCACTTTGTTAATATTGAATCTATTACACTCAAGACATTCACTTATGATGCATTGAATATCTTTTTGCATATTAGTCCAATGTACACCATCATGATGTAATTGGTTTTCAATACTTTGCAATCCAAAATGCCCCAATAGATGAGCCTTGAAAATAAGATCATCTCTCTCATGAGCAGGTGGCATCATGTACTCAGCAAACTTAAGTGTTCTCATAATGGGATTATCATTCTCTTGTTCAGTTTGTATTAGTGAATTATCTTTTTTCATGCTTGAAGATGACTGTTCACTTATCAACACTTCACTTGTATTACTTCTGAAAGCATCTGAACAAGACTTCTTTACTGGTCTGTATGAATATTTCTGTTTACCCACTATGTTTTCTACTTTGTTTTTCTTGTCATTAGCAGAATTACTCCCCTCCAAGATGACAACATTGTCGTCATTGTTAGAGTACAGGCAACTCAAACAGTCTGGAATAAGATGCTTATAACCAGGAAGATAAATACAATCAAAATGGTAGGCAAAGATACATTCCCACCACCCTAGCATAAGTGCATTAGGTGTTTCCTGAGTATTAAGGTATATCAGGCTCTTGTGATCTGTATGTAAGGTAAATGGAATAAGATATACACACCAGGAGATTTTTCTGGCCTTTAAGCAATGATATCCTTACCTTTTAAAACTGAAAATATCTTGCCTTTTATGGAACTGCATTTAAAACTGAAAACTTCCTGCCTTTTATGGAACTGTAATTGAAATCAAAGGTTTGCAAGTATCCAAAATTTTCTTACCTTTTATGGAATACCTCAATATCAAATTATATTATCAATAAAATATTGTTTATGAATAATATTGTTTATTATAATAATATAGCTAATAATACTGTAGCTAATAATAATATAGCTAATAATATACTATTACTATAGCTACTGCTGTTCTAGGTATATTCTTTCATAGCAATAGAATCTATACCCTAGAAGCCTTGTGCTTTAATATTGAGAGATAGATAACTATGCTCAGGAGTATACCCTAGACAGCCTAGACTGTATAGAAGGAAGAAGACCACCTTGGACTGACTTGAGAAGAGTCTTAACTTATCTAATAACAGAAGAGTATATTAGTGATAGTTCAATCAAGAGAGATAGTATGCTTACCTTTTAGTTAATACTTGTCTTGAGAATAATAAGCCATATGCTATCTATTAAAAGAAGAGTCAGTACTATGTCTTGTACATTGCAATGAGCTCAAGCCCAGATGATGACACTGCTTACCTTTTTATCTCAAGAATAGTCCTTGGTAGTGTCTATCACCTCCTTCTATTGTTTTTCTTTGTTAATAACCACACATTACCTTGCTTATTTATGCTCATCTTGACAAGTAATTAAGTATCAAATATTATGGGCAGTGTGAAAAACAAAAAAAGAATAACAGACAAAAGAATAAGAAAATATTTTCATTTTGGTGACATATCACTTTAGCCTCCACTTTCCAATAATTTATTAAGTCAAAATCCTTAAGTCAAACAGCTCACTCTCTTTCTGTTTTTATATTGAAATCTCTTTTACCATGTCCCTCACCACCATCAACTTCAAGAAGAATGAAATTCCTACCTGCACTGTCTGCCAAAAGACATTTAAGACCAAGGGAAATATGAAATCATACCTTTCTACTCATAAAATGTAAGGATAATCTCAAGTCTAAAAGTAATGTTGCTCATTCTCTACTATGAATAGTTTAATGCCTGAGTCTTCTTCTGGGTATTTATTGTAGAAACAGAAGCATAGAATGATAAGAACCAAGCTCATTATGATTTCTTTCTATTGTTTACAGACCTCTCCCTGCCATCACCTCAGTCTTCCATGTAGAAGAGGAAGGTGATGATGACCAGGAGTTTGTTGTTGAAGATGAGGAAGTTCTTGAAAAAGAACCTCTTTGGGTTACTGGGGAAGATGATTTTGACAGCAGCAACAACACCTTTGAGGAGGCTGCCTCTGTAGATGATATCTTCCTATTCTCAACAAAGCTGGAGATGATCATACACTGTTTCTTTACTGAAAATGAGGAACATATCTCAAGAAGATTTGCAGGGGAGATCATCACCTTGTGCAAAGATGTGAGAGAGGCTTGTCTTGCCAATCCTCAGGAGAAAGTCCCTGCTTTAAACAAGGTTCTTAACCTTGAGAAGAGGGTGAGAGGCCATGTCCCCAAGTTCCACACCACCACCCATAATGTTACAGTGGTTGAAACCTGCAAAGGCTTGCCCCCCACCACCACCATCCACCAGTTCTCTATGAACAAACCCTCTGAGCATTTGAGGCTCCTCACCGCCAACCCCCTCAAGACAAAGATGCTCTCTACCCTGCCAGACAGAACTCCAAATCAACAAGTTTCTGTAACTCAGGGAGAGAAGTGGAGAACTCACCCGCTGTCTCAGCACCCCATGGTCACTGTTACCATCAACAGTACTTCTGTTGATCTCTGGGTTGGAGACATTGTGCATGCCTCTCTTGGTGAAACAACAACAACAACAACAACATACAAGCTTGCCTCTTTCTTCATGCAACATGGTAGACTGATGGCTGAGGCTTATGAAGCAACACCTGGTTTCTCTGTTGGCAGCATTGTTATTCTTGACATTGTTAGAGACATTAAGATTTCTTCCACTACCCACATTAACTCCACCAACCACCACCCTCTCAAAAGAGTCACTACTAGCTCCAGAAGACAGTTCATGCCAGTGAAAATTGTGCCTCTGAACTTGTTCTTAGATGACACAAGTGGAAACACCACCAAGAAGTGGAATAAGTTTGAGAGTTGGGTGATGTCTCCTGCCACAATGGCATTCAAAGAACAAAACAGGGTTGAGAATATGTTCTTTCTTTGTACCAGCAACAAGTTGTCAGTGATAGAGATGCTTCTGGAGCTGGTAAAGGACTTGGAGATGTTGGAGAGAGGCATCAAGATGTTTGATGTGGAGTTTGGAGAATCTGTCCTTGTTGTTGGTGTACTTCACCTCATCATGGCAGACAATCCTATGCATGCGGCTGTGGCATGTAGTCTTGGTGCAAGTGCCAATCTACCATGTAGAAAATGTTTCTGGAGGAAGGGAAGTGGAAGTGCAGTAGTGGAGGGTGCCCCTGCCAGAAGAAGAGAAGAGTTGGTGGTGATGTGCCAACAGTACAACAACAACCCCAACAATGCCAGCCCCAGAAGTAACCCCAGCACTGGCTATAAGCTAACTGGTGGTAAAGCTCTCTTGTCTCTCCAGTTGTGGGATCCCTCCAAGGATTGCCCAGTAGAAATCTTGCATACTATCCTCCTTGGTGTTGCCAAACATCTTGTGATTGGTATGGTGCCATTTTACACAGAAAAAGAAGTCAAGCACTTGGAAGAAAGCTTCTTCAACTACAACTCAAAGGCTTTCACAAGAAAGCACTGCACAACTTTTTGTCTCTGTGGCTCATATCTCAGAAGAGATTTCAAGATCATTGTTCAGCAGATGCCCACCATTTTGAATCAATTAATTCAAAAACAACTCATCAGCAACAATACTTCAAAGGCAATCATTTTTGATTGTTTTGTTAAGCTTGGTTCTCTTGTATCCCTGTTATACATGCAAAGAATTGAAACATCCTTAGATGTTTATTTGAACAATGTGGAGTCCATTGTCACAGATTTGAAGAGATCAATTGCCAACTACAATGCATTGGCA